GGCAAGCATTCTATATTAGGCCGACCTTCTATTTATAGATACAGCTGGTAATAGTTGTAAGAAAGATACTAAGCGAATGAATAGGCTGCTGAGCAGCATCTTACACCACAAGTTAACAGAAAGACAGAAATATTCTTCTTTTTCAATCTTACATCGATATTATACTTCTCCAAGTGTTTAAGATTCAAAGAATCAGTGCACTTATAATGATCAACAAGGAATGAAATTCAATATCTATTCTGATTTCTGAAAATAGATCTCAAATCCACATCAAAATAATAAAGCTTTGCAATGAATATCCTCACAATTACTTCGAATGGCTCATGTATATGAATCAATGGAATTTCTTTTCTATGAATAAACGGATTGTTTAAGTGCGAAGACCTGTTTGACTGACTAAAGTAGATATAAATGAGTAATACGAAGAGATATATTATTAATAGCCTTTATCGACGAAATATAATTTTTGATAGAAATACAAATTATGTTATTCTTCGTTTGTTTTTGGCTTTACCTTTCAAGCACATCTAGTACATAATTCCATCCACGATTATTATCCCAAAATTCTTGACTATTGGTTTGTAAACAAACAGCAAAGTAAATTTGTTTTGGAACTTTTGTGTTATCATCATATTTTCTCAAACGTATTTCAAATGTAAATGTATCTGTATTATCATTTGGATAAGTCATTGAATGCCATCCATTAATATCTTCAAATGTATTCCAATCATTTTCAGTTATACGAGCAAAAACACGTTTTTCATAAGCAAAATTATTGACACGAACTGTTCCATATGCTATTAAATCTTTTGTATATAAACATTCAAGCATAACTTGTCGTTCATATATTAATGGAATAATGTTTGTTGGAGAAGTAAAGTATTTTGAAATTAAATAATATTGATTTGTTGATTTTTTAGAGGTAATAAAAGATGCAGATGAAGAAGATCGATTAAAAGCATTTGAAAGATCAAAAGGAAGTGGAGATGAAGAATGTAGATTTGATTGACTATTAGCTAGACGCAATTGTTCAAGTTTAATACGAAAACACTCTTGCATAAGTAAATTTGCTGATTGATCTGGTGGAGTCATATAACGAATAGATTCTAGATCAAGACCCTAAAAGTAACAAAGAAATATAATGTCTAATATTTTACAAATAATATTTCTTTCACTTTTAACTAAACATTCAATGTTAAGAATGGCTATAGATTTAAAAAAGAAAACAATCAATTCTTAACTTTTCAATAATTCTTCTTTTATTTGGTTTCGAAAAATTTGGAACATTTTTTAATATTATATAGTTTGGAAACATCATCCATATACATTATTATGAATAAGAATTTTAGTAAATATCTTTTCTTTTA